TGACAAAAAAAGTACACTGCACTCTACTAAACAGACGGTGTAGCCTAGGGTGCCCGCAGGGTGGTAGCCTGGGTGCACAGGCCAGGGTGCACTTGCCCCGTCTCACTCGCGGCTCGGATCTTTGTGCAAGTCATCTATTGCGGGCAGGTATTTGACGAATCACTGTCTAGCAACACATCCTCCACATCGCTACTTCAGCGTGAACAGAAAATCTTTTGGCAGAGCTAGAGAGGGACTGCGCAAATAAATTCTGTGCAGTTATGGATTTGCCAGAACCTGTGCGAAAAGAACCATTCCAGAATCACATTATTGCAATACATGACGCAGCTGTTGAGATTTGTGACAAGTCTATCCGGAAATGGGCAACGGAATTGTTGACGACTAAAACAGCGGAAAATGTCGAGTATCCAGATCGTGTTGCTGTCAGTACGGACGGTACTTGGATGCAACGTGCATCTAACAGATAACGCACTTCTGCTTCGCTGTGCCAGGTCTGCAACACAGAATGCCAATGAAGCATTGAATGGTCTCGTTTGGGTAGGCCTCAGCGGCTAATGCTAGCATTAAAAGTAGCATTAAAGGCCTTTTTTGGAAACTAGCATTCACCGAATGGTAGAAAGACTGTTGACTGTCGTGTAGCGGCCCATGGCAACACTTACTAAGTCCTCTCTTGGATCACGTAGGATCTGTTTCGACAACTCACTGGTGTATGCAGTGTGGCACACGGCGGTTGTCTACATTTTCGTCAGGAAATCCATCCCGTTTAGACTTCAATGAATGAGCCTTGTAGGTTTGCCGTGTATGGCAAGACGTACTACATGTAATTGCCGAAAACCGAACTATTGCAGTTGGCAGGAGGTAAGGATGCAGCACAGGGGCTTCTGGCTGCGCTGTTCTTGATACGTGGCATGGCGCGGCTAAAAAAACCGGGGACATCATAATGTCAGTTTTTGGCGAAGCGAGGTCGCTACGAAGTAGTAGGGACCATTATCCCACAATCCAATGACACCAATATCTCGGCGAGCGTGGTCGTCAGTTGTTGCCGAACGATGCTAAAGCGCTCCCCAGACAGAGGCTGGATGGACGGCACAACGGACACATTATGTGCAACTTGCCTCAACATGGTTGTGGAGACATCTCGGATTTCATTGTGTCGGATGGTGGGGAAGCCTCTGTACGGGCAGGATAACGCATGGTGGATTGTGAACTCTGTGCCACACACACACACACACACACACACACACATACACACACACACACACACACACGAGGCTGGAAGTCTTGGTGGTACCCACCCGTAGCAAAGGCATAGGCCATCCCGAAACTCTGTCTTTGTTAGATTGAAACTGCAGCACTTTAAGGGTCTGCCTTCTCCCGATCAAACCCGATAGAGTTCTTAACCCTAGAAGTACCGGAGGCATCATAATTATGATGCTTTTGCGAATTTCAAAATGGGATTGCTGTTATACTGGGGCTTAGAATCTCCCCAAATTTTCTGACTTTTATTTCTTTTGTATTTTGTTAACCCTTTGTGGACGGACTGTACGAGTTTCGATCTAATAAGATCGAAAGTCTGCAGGCGGTAAAATCTTCGTAACTCCATTGTTTCTTGAGCAAATTCCACAATCGAAGGGTCTACGTGGTAGCGGAAACTCCAAGCTGTCCAATGCAACAATCGCCGAAGAGTTACGATGTCGGACGCCAGAGATATCGCACGCCGTATTCTTACCTCGGCAAATTCAAATTTTTGATCGATCATTTCGCCATTTTGGGGGAAAACCCCTTTTCGTGTGCTCTTTGAGCGACTGAGCACATGATAATGACGTAGCCGGCTGAAGTTTGAATCGTCTCAAACAGATTTGAGCGTTCTGCGATGAAGGAGAGTGGAATGGCGTTGATGGGACGAATTTGCTTGCATATCAGGCTTGGAGACGACTTTGCTGTGTTACCGCGCCTGATTTGTGGCGGCTGGATAATGGAGATTGGTACCCTGGCGTTGCTCCCGTCAAGCGCTTTCCAATGAGCCCTTGATTGTGAAAATCAAGTGAAGGACACCAAAGTTATGACATGGTAAAGTTGAAAATTGTACTGACATTTTGTAATTCTGGTGCGTACTGTGCTAGTAATCCGTCCATAAAGGCAGTGGGTTGTGTTTTCAAAAATTTAGTACAGTTCCGAAAAGCCAGGGGGTGCTACCTAGAACTACCGCGCAGCATCATATGACTCCACATACCATAGGCATCAATAAAAGGGCAAATTTGGCTTAGAAGTTAGAACCTCACGTGAATAACGTGAAGATGAATACATTTGGGAGCAAGAAGATTGGGGACCATGAAGGTGGTGATTTGTACATGTGGACATGCTAATATGCACATTTCACGTGTCGTTATGGTCAATATCCTAATCCCGAATCCTGCCGAAACAGACACATTTGTTTGTCCTAAGTTTGGAAAGTGATTCACAATGTCATCTGCAGCATAGAACGATATGAAGTGCCAGGGCAGTTATAATATTCTAGGAACGTCCTTTGAGTTCACGTTGGTCTAGCGGAAGCCATGTTCAGTAGGCGGAGTGTTGCTGCCGAAAAAGCATTTCATTTGATTTTGAAAAATGTTGGGCAGGAGGTTGGGGGTGAATGCGAGGAGAGTGCCTGGAGCATTGTGCGCGAGCAATTAGATGTGACCGAACACAGAGACACATAGTTATATGCTCCAGATGAAGATGAGTGAAAACTAATTGCTCCGGCTTCTCGATCAGTCTGATACGGGACCGGAGTCGAGGGAGCAAGCGGATAATGGTGGTGATAAAGCTATGGAGCCATACACATAACAGAACATCAATCTCCAAAACCCGGGCAGGATTTCCTTCATGAAGCTGGGTTCTCTGGCAAAGTTGGTAGATAGTGGAAAATGTGTTGCACCAAGCAAGCGCGAACGCGCGCAACCGGTTGTTGCTTCCGAAGTATGCGGGCTTTTCCGAGATATTCACTATTTTGAAGATGGGGCAGATGCATTATTTGCATTTATTGACCAGAATAATATGATCCGTGTCATGATGAAGGGCACAAGATAGGAGGGAAAACAATTTTTTTGGAGAGGACTCTACTTTGAGTGAAGCCAATATCATGGCATTGGTTTCGCAAATTTACGAAAGAGGCGTCCTCTGTACCCGCGATAATCTGCCGACGGCCCTTCGGCTGGATAGGAATGGACGCCATATAATCAAGTAAAATCCCTAAAAATAGTTTCCGGGAACTACTCTGCTACTTGAGGTTTGATCACGAAGATGGTCTCCGGACCATCGGAAATTATTCGTTTGCTATGAGTTCCGACACCACGCTCTCCTTTCGCTCGTAAATGTATTTATCACAGCAGTCAAAGAATGACCAACCTGGCTGAGAAACATCCAGCAAGTTGGCCCAGCAGCAACCATTTCCGGGGTAATGGACTGAAATGTAGAGTTTGCAGGACGAGCATGGCAAGCAAATGCTCTTTTATTTTTCCGTAAACTGACGAGAGGTCGCCCTTTCGCTGCGCGCAATGCCAGCTGCTGGTCACCAAGATAGTGCACCTGTCATTGGTTCTTCCTTTTAAAAGGTACCTTTTACCTCAAGGACTTCTGTTTCTACACATATTGCCGATAATAATTCCAAGCAGGTATGTTTTAAGTCCAGTGGAGTCATTATGATGCCTCCAGTAATTCTAGGGTAGTTGAAATTTTGGTACTTCTGTTAAAGTAGTCAACGGAGTTGGGAATGATTGCGTCGAGCTGCTCAGACTGCAGGCGTCGAATCTGTCCCTGAACAATTCGCTGGTGCTGTCCTACTAATCATCGGTGTCGCATCGCCAAGAGCAAATTCTCCCCACGCAATGTGACGAACGAGGCTGTCTGTGATTATCACGGAGAACTCCCACTGCTGTGGTAGCATCCATGGCCTTGCGATGCCCAATCCACCGATGCCTAATCTGCCCAGGCACGGCAAAGCAAAGAGGCTGCACAAACTTTTCGCCAGGCGGAGGACGACCAGTCAGCACTGGAATCAGGTCATTGCTGATGGCTTGATGCAGAGGGGCCCCAGCAGCGATTCCGGAACCCGCATGCAGCGGCGCACAAATGACCATCATTATCAAGGCAGTTAGATGTAGATGGGTGACAATCATAACGTCTACATGTATGCCGATGGTGTAGATCTATTGGAGAACAGCAGGTGTATGAAGGGGGCGTTCGAATTGTCTTCATCATCTGTTCGAACAGATTAGTGCCCCAAGAGAAGGGCTTCTATCGTTCTAAAGTTTTTCAGTGGAATTGTCATGGCGATAATGACGTCCGATCAGATCGACCACCTCGATGTAGCTATTCTAAACTCTTCGGAACTAATCCACCTCTCCCATCGGATGAGGTTGTGGAGTTTCGAGGAGTTACGTTTTCTGAAGAGGCCAATAAGCCACCTCTTCAGAAAAACGAAACTAGAAAAGTCAAAGAGTGACAATTCGAACGCGCCCGCAGCCTTCGTCTGCATCGAGTTGTACATCAGGATAACTGGTATATTGTGCGGCCGAGGGCCCGGCGAGGGGATCATTCATGCAGTCAGTAGATCTACACTACACTACAGTCCAGCTCAATGAATCCAGTCGCGGCACTCAAGCTTGCGCCTTGCACCGGTTCGCAGCCCAGTGAGTGCGTTCGATTACACGCGCGAATCGATTCACGAATCGATTCATGAATCGATTCGCGCTATTCACATCACCCCATGTGAATAGAGGGAATGGATTCCGAATCGATTCCAGGGCTCATGACATGAAATCGAACGACTTGAATGCATGCGAATGGATTCAAGAATCGATTCAAGTGTGTAATCGAACGCACTCAGTGTTTGCAGTTTGCAGGTCTAGGGCTGCGCAACGCCTGGCGCGTGCATGAATGCAGCGAGTGGATTTCATTGAGCAACACTGTAGTCTAGATCTACATGAAGATTGAAGGCTGCAGGACTCGCCTTGTACTTGTAGCCTTGCACCGTTGTGCGACGGTTGTGCCTGGTCCTTTCTTTGACTAGTTTTTTTCCTCGTTCTGATACTTGTGGTAGTCGAATAACTTTCATGTGGGTTTTTTTCCAATTCTGGTGAGCGTCATGTGCTACAGCCACAGGACAGGTGCTGCAGTATGATAATGTTTAGAATAGAGGCAAGAATGTCAGACGCGTGAGGCCGGTTCAACAGAGCAATAGGAACTCAGCTGCCAGCCAGTGCTTTTTCTTCGCGTGCACAAAATACAGCCGAAGCACAACGCGACTAGTTACGAAGACGCGAAACTTCAGTTTGCTGGATATTTCGAAAGGCCGAGAGCCGTTCTCAGACTGCCATAGCCCATACTCCGAATCCGTTATCCTCGCAAGCGTTCCCGATGCTCGGCGGAACTAACGTGACTTGAGCCTTCAATGAAGACAATCATGCTGATTTCCATCGCTAAGAGAAGAGAAAAATGCATGTGTCGACTCGTATTCGCTGTGTCGCATTCTTAGAGCTTGGTGGTTCGGTGAGCGAAGTCCAAGAAGACATAGCGAGTGTGGGCTTGTACTGTGTGTGGATTGTCGAAATTTGTCGCGCAGTCCCCCGACCAGCCGGATGCCGGACAACGAACACTCCGCACACAGCTGACGGCCAGCACCTTCGCTACTGCTTGACTCAACCGATGGAACGGCACATACTTTATAAATGAGATATGCCCAACGCTATTTTATGAGATTCAGACGTAGATCTACGGATGAGTGATGGGGCGATGAGCAGAGATTACTAGTACCTTGAGAGCCTAGTGGCCTGCAGTATTGAACTCATAGAAGCCAAGTGGACATCACCCTGGCCTGGTAAGAGTATTCTCTTTGTGTTTTGTCTCAAATTGTTTCCTCCGGATTTATACAACATGTGGATAGCGTCAATAGAGAGATTACGGGGGGGGGGGGGGGGGCGGGGGGCGGCACCAGTTTAGGCCCCCAAGGCGGCAGAGGTCTGATCTTCTCAAGTGGAGACAAATGATTCCCGGGACGTACCATCCTGGGACCTAATAAATTACAACTCCAGGGAAGAGGGCAACTTGGTCTTACTGTTTTTGTTTTATTCAGAGCAAAAAGGAAAAAATGTTTCTTGCGCATGAATGCAAGGCTGGGCTAGTGAGGGAGACTAACGTCATGCAGAGAGGTCGCAACATTACTCCCTCGCCAGAGAGCAAGCGGAGCGCAGAGAACGAAGAAAAAAAAAGACTAAGGAAATATTATAATATAATGTGTATAGATAATAACTGCCAAACAAAACCTGACGATATTGAAAACATGGGCCAAATAGTGAAATAAATGAACCAGAACAAAGTTCAGCGCGGCAATAGAGCAAGCAATGCATGACATAAACTTCATCTTCGTCGGAGGTGAATTAACACGACAGGTGTGCGTGGGTCAGCAGCAAAGTCGGAGAGCAAAAAGAGAGAAAAGCTTCAGATGGGGCAATGAGGCAAAGACGAGCAGTGATCAGGTGCAAAAGTCTTGTTGGCTAGTAGCCATGTTATTGTGTGTGTGTTTGCATGTGTGTGTGTGTGTGTGTGTGTGTGTGTGTGTGTGTGTGTGTGTGTGTGTGTGTGTGTGTGTGTGCGTGTGACGGGGGGGGGGGGCTGCGGCTCTGTGGTCGGCAGCCTATCCAGGTCACGCAACAGCACGACAGTGACAACAAGTAGTGTAGTAGTAGTAGTAGTAGTAGCAGATGTGATGGCTCCACGGTGGGGGAGGCTTACAGGTTCGGGGAAGGTGGGCAAGCTCCAGCTTATGGCCGGCGCACACTAGACGGTGGTTAGAGAGATTAGGACCATGAGAAAGCCGTTAAACGACACTGCCAGAAGTGTGTGGGGGGAGGGGGGGGGTTAGAGTCCCGTCGTTGGACCGCGAAAACCAGGCTTTGTGATGAGTTTGCAGGCGTCTACTCATCATGGCATCAACGAGTTGGTCTCAGTCCAGTTAGTGTGATACCAAACACACCGTAGTATCGGAGTATAAGCCACACGTAAAACACTAGCAATTCACTCAAGAAAAGACTTCTACTTATACTACAATGGTCAAATGAGCCGTGAAAAACAGCGTAGATATTTGTATTCCGTAGTCAATAAATATTCTGGGTGCAGCTTATACTCCAGAAAGTAAAGTGATGCTGAAAATAGGACTTCAAATGGGGCTTCTAGTCATGTTTGTCTTTTCCCCAAGGTTTGAAATCGAAAAGATTTTATATACGGTCTTTTCAATTTTCTACTCCCTCCTGAATGTTTATGTACTCTTCATGGAACGAAGTACACTTAAACCTGTAACCAGAGACCACTGTGACTAGCGACCAGCCTGGTACAACCGACCACTGCGCCAGGCACAGACAGTCTCACATTCACATAGTTATGGTTGTGCGGTGCAAACCTCTGACTAAGGACCACCTGCCACTAAAGACCGCTTTCTCTAGCCCCAACGGGTGGTCGTTAGTCACAGGTTTTACTGTATGATGGCGAAACCCATGTGAAAACCGGAGTGACGATTGATTGTGCCCTGATCATTATTAGTCGTGGTATGGCGCAAAGCAGGATCGAGGTCAAGCACAGTGCCGAAAATTCGACCTGTTCAAGGCCCCCTTTTGCTAGTTTAGTGTTTGCTAGTTCAGTCGCCTGCTCTGAAAGGTTCAAAAGACTGAAGTGTTCTCCACAGACTGGCTGCATTGTAACGTCTCTCGGAAAATTGTCGACATTCAACTCCCATATTCCACTTGTCAGTTTTGTGCTGGCCAAACAGATTGCAATGAAGTCCAGTGTTCAACAAAGAAAATCTTTTAAACAAGCTTTTAACTAGTGGTGTGCACGGGTAGTCGGGGACCTGTGCTACCCATGAGGACCTCGGGCAGACGGGTACAGAATAGTACCCGAAAACCTGAAGTCGCAGATGACACCATCTACAGTGCATGTGTACAAATTCATGTAAAACTCTGCATGTCTACCCAGTGTGTAAGGGAAGCGGTGCATTGTGGTGTTACCATGGAAACATTACCCGATAGGGTACCCGTGCTACCCGATACCAGAAGAAAATGCTACCCAACTCAGGCCTACTTTTACAGCATAAAAGTCAGAGAGCTCTAAGTACGAGATATACAGCGAGTTTTGCACTAGGGCAAGTAACTTTGCCGCTAACCAGAAAGAATACCAAACTAAGCAGAGCTGATTGAGCATAATACCCCCCACCTCCGAAAGGGTATGAAAATCATGCATAAAGAATTTCAAGTTGATGACGTTTAAGTATACAATGATCACAGTAGGCACGCAGCCAGCACTAGTGAGAATACTGTAATTTCACAAATTTTCGTTGTACTTAAATTAAGGTACTTTCGGTGCATCTATTTCACACCCAAAATTTCGATACACCGAACAAACACTAACACACATAATACAATAGGGAACTGCTTCTCTGTACCGAAAATTTCTATTCACCTAACCTAGCCTGTTGCCCTCATACCGAGAATATTAAGCACCGAAAATTTCTGAAATTAGAGTATCCGATGTTCATACAAAAGTGTCAACCCGTTACACGTGTGGTTTGGCACATTGTATAATTGGTTCAGTTGGTTATGTGACCATCACAGGTCTGGGATACATCAGAACATATTTGTGCACTTATCATTGTATCATAAAGATGGCATCAACTGCACTGAAAGTGGAGGGCAGTGCGGCATTAGGGATTTGCTCGATTTGCACTGTGTCTACTTCTCTTTGATTCCATCCAGTATCAAGTGCTTGACGCACATGGGTCAACAGACTGGTGAAGAAAAACTGGTGTGTAAATCCCTTGTCCAGAAGTCTAAACAACCCGACGTGGAAAGTATGGTGAGGAAATACGTATTTGTCCATATCTTGATCATTTTTCTTATGCATCTCTCTCTATCTCTCTCTCTCTCTCTGTCTGTCTCTATCTCTCTCTCTCTCTCTCTCTCTCTCTCTCTCTCTCTCCCTCTCTCTCCCTCTCTCCCTCTCTCTCTCTGTGCCTGTCTCTATCTATCTCTATCTCTCTCGCTCGCTCTCTCTCTCTTTCTCTCTCTCTCTCATCTATCTCTGGCAGAGTGGCAGCCATTAGCTTCCTAACGTGTTTGTATGTTTCTTTGTGTTTGTTTTTTCTTTGCAGGTAGCAGAGGGCAAGAAGAAGGCTGCAAGCAGCCAGCAGCAAGGAGACTTGAAAAAAAGCAAAATTTTCTATATAATAGCCATCCCTAGCCCCGACCACCATCCCCTAGGGAAATATTGAATTTATAGCTGCCTACCCGTGTCTGTTGTTCACGCCGAAGCACCGCCTAAACTACCCTAGCCTATCACGAAGTGCTAGTTGTGGTGTGGAAATTCGCATCACTTCCATCCCACTCCAGATGCTATTGACTTGCCGCTTCGGACTTGGTATTGAATGTATTCATATTGATTTTATATGCAACCAAGAATACTTTATTGATAAAACTATACCAGTAGCTGGCCATTTTAACGAGGTGCCCTGGTTCGAGTCCTGGTGGTGACAGTCAATTGTTTCAGGCTTTTCCCATTTTCAACTCCCTCAACCTTATGACTGCAACAGAGTATGTATATGCATTTTAAATGCAAGAGGCATTGGGGATTTTCATAGGCAAAACGTGAATGAGTGCTTTCCGTTGCATCATCACCACCGCTCGCCTGCGTCTTCATCGTTGAGGGTGGTGGCGTTCCAGGGTATACAGACAACTCACTCTGACTAACCTTTGCTGTTTTAATACCATGGTGTTCTTTGATGCAGAGGATTATGTCACATAGCCTAACCCAATTTATCCCTCCCGTTCATGATACTCGTCAGGAAATAGACATGACAAATCCATTATGTTGTCCAATGCATATCCAACAATTAAACATGCCACAAATCACACCAAAGTGGTTGACTGGAACCCAATCTCGTAGCTCAATCATGCTCTGGTTGTGGAGTCCTAGACCTGCTAAACACTGGGATGTGAAATGTGCTGCAAGGCTCAATATGTGTTACCCCAATCAGATTATGCCAAGTATACCTATGCATGGCCCAAACTCATGTATGAAGTACACACACTCACGCATGCACACACACACACACACACACACACACACACACTTGTACTCGTTCACTGGCCAAACCAGGTCATGTGGGTCTCCCGAGGAGAGAGAAGAGAGATTCAAAATTAATCTTGGAAAGATGACTGGCTATTCAACCCACCAACACCCACCCCCTGAAATCCAAAAACTCTGGATAATTATGATCCCACTTATGGGCTCGCCATACCTCTGTGACATGTACACACACACACACACACACACACACACACACACACACACACACACCACACGCACACATACTTACCTTGCATGTAGGCCTTTGCAATAAATCAAGATTTTATTGCGAACATAAATAATATAAGAAACTGGATGACTGACTGCATGAAATGAACGATGGATAAACTCGCCCAGTGGTTGGTTACGGGTAAAATCACATGTATAGAGTGTAGGAAGGATATGAAAATCAGTGAACTATATTTGTACGACTGCGATTGATGATTGCATCATAGTAAGAAACTTTGGAGTGGCTCTATGGACAGTTCCGCATGATTATACCAAAATTAATGTGTATGCGCAGGATCTGCAAAGCTATGAATTTTGACCAGGAGATACCTCCTAGATTACACCTCTGTTAGGTCTGCGAAATTGGATTGTTTATCAGCATTGTAGGAGGCTAAGTTTGAAGCATACTGACAGCTAGTCTTCGGGGCATACGACGGTCAGCCATTGAAAGTCCTCGGTGTGCATGATAGATGTATCATGACCCGTAAGACACAACGCATACTGTAAAGTCTTGTATAAAAGCCGCGGCTTCTATGACTTTCTTGGTGAAATTTTGCAGGTTTCTATATGAGACAGGCTTCTATACAAGAGAGGTATTTCTATGTATGTCAACACTAAAACCAGGCTTATGTGTGGTTTGATGGGCCCAAAATTGCGGCTTCTATTCAAGTGCGGCTTTTATACAAGACTTTACGGTAGTATAGACGTTGACGCAGTCCGCACAATGGCAGCGGACCGACAGGCATGGCGTGGAGCCCGCCCCACCTAACAGGACTGACCAGACATGTTGTATGCATATTCTATTTTATTTTATACTTTGGATGAAGTTTTCCATTAGTCATATTGGTGTTGTTGCTAACGGCTTTTGTTGACGTCACTTCTGTCATTTTATTGTATCGTATTACTCTTCAGACATCAATCCTGAATGGCATAAGCGAAAGTGGCACCCCCGCCACCTACGCGGACATGCTTTTAATAATAATAATAATAATAAATAGACTACAAGGGTAAAAAAACAGTGTACTAAATCAGACAAGAAAACCTGTGCTGTTGAACAGAGATCAGCTGAGTGCCAGGATATTCCAGGATGGCTTATGTGCAGAGTATGCATGGGGCGGGGGAGGTCACGGCTGGTGTCTAAATCGCACCAAATGTGCTGACTTACTGTTAGCTACCATTCCTTTAGTCTTCCTTTACATCCCCAGTGGGAGAAACTTCCATCCATCGGTTATTTGTGGAATAACCCGCTACTGTTTATACTAACCTTTTGAATGCCTTATGGCAAATGTTCACTCCCAGTCTCCAGGGTTGGGCATATACCGTATTTCCCCGAATATAGGTCGCACCTTTTTACACCAAAATTCAAGGGTGAGAAAGGGGGTGCGACTTACAATCGAGCATGACTTACTACTGAAGTGATCATGTCGAAAAAATATTGCTGAAACCTGAAAATGGGGGTGCGACATATAATCGAGTGTGACTTATAATTGGGGAGATACTGTACCGGTTCCATGCCTTCCAAAGACGATCGGCAGATTACTTGGTTTCCAGTTGACGATGGAACGTATTTAGTAGCGTTGGGCTGTAGAGGCTGCGTAGTCCTTGTATCCTTAGCACACCAGATCAGCAATGCCATCGGTCCTGGATGTCTGGTTGAAGCCTCCTTATCAGGATCTACACGCGCAACATAATAATTCCACACAGGAAAAACAATAACATAGTCACTAGTTGAGGGAATGAAAAAATCACATTATTTTTATACGGCATATGAATGGGCACTATAAGAGTTGAAAGTGTAATTTAAAAGTGTTTCGACTTTGCTGGTGTTCAATGACCGCTGCTATCAGCCACTCATCCCTTATTGCCCTACTAATAATTAGGAATGTGTTTTCTACAGTGTCAGCTCCAGAGCCGGGTCAGCCTGGTCAGCAACCCTGTTGGGGGGGGGGGGGGGGATACTTGGACCCGTTTGGAAAAGAACACCGGGTCACCTGTGACCCGGTTGGGAATACAGTCTACATCAGGGAGTCGTAAAATATTTACAACTCCCTGGTGTACGTGCAGTAGCCACACTTGAATGTACCCGGCTCTGACCCGGTTGTAAGAGTTGTGCCAGGCACAAGCATTCCCGGGTGGTTTGAAATCCTAGAACAGACACTGTTTTCACCACACTGGAGCTCGCTCTTTTTCCGCAGACTTGACTTGACACATTGTGGTAAGCAAGCACTTTCCAAGACAATTGTCGCCGACGCCGTGCAGAAAACGCCTGCGTGCACGCCCCCTGGACATCTGCCACGATCATGTTGATGACTCACACAAGATGAGTGGATTTATTCCAGGGTATTATTTTATTTTATCTTTACTTCTCCATTGCTTTCTAGGAACAAATTGGGAATGCACGAGAACTGAGTGATAATTGCATGTACTATTTTTTTTTGCGGACCCCATTACACATACCCCCACGCCCCCTCCCACTCACACACACACACAGGGCATGAAATTCTGAAATTTCCCGGAGCTATGAATGCCCCACACGGTACACTAATCTTTCTTGGCATGCTTCTTTTTCTTCCCATAGTGATGGCAGCTGTGGCTAAGGGTGCGTTTGGTTGGTACGATCTAGAACAAGATCGAACAGCTGGTGCACATGGAGCAGCCTCATGCCCACCAAACGGTACTCCAGAAACAGAGCACATTTTTATGAAAAATGTGCCAAACTTGGTGCATTCTGCAAAATGTGTATGGGTCACCATGGTCACTTTGTACGGTACAACGAATCCAACCCAAAAGCGTACACACGTGATCATCTGGGACCAAAATCGACGTTCCCGCCAGGTTTCACTGTGAAAAAGTGAAACTGCTCGGTTTGCTCCGGCCTCAAGGCCGGAGCTCCGGCCTCAAGGCCGGAGCAAGCAGAACATGTTCTGGCCGACCCAGAACAGGTGCAGTCTCAACCAAACGCGCTGTTCTGGTGAATCCTGTTCTAGGTCGTACCAACCAAACGCGCCCTTAGATGCAGAGATTTCAGGCGGACACACAAGTGATTTGGAAGGCAATGTCTGTATATGGGAAGTAGTGTACACAGAATGTTGTGCCTGTGGAAGAATGCATGTTGAAGCTCAAGCTCCAAACTGTAGTGGATCAATTATGACACAAGTACTCACACAATAGCCATCTGTGTCCTACATGTAGATCATCCCCATGCAATATCCCAGATATGCTGTCCAAAGACCCTTGTGTAGAGTTACATGCTCTTGGGAGTTACATGTACATGTGCGTACTTTTTGTAGGATGTGTACTATAATTATAGCTTGATTTTTTAGATTTTAACTGCCCTATGCTAGTTTTGCTTACCTCCCCTCCTGGTTTGACAGGTCAGGAACGAATGGGCATCTGGGATGGCGCTGGGCAGCAATGTACACGATATAAATGAGTGAATTCAGGTGGGATGCAAAGTATCCGCCTGAATACTTCGGCATACATGTACCGGTACTACTGGATGACGTAACTGGTATCCAAGTCCTACGTAGTGTTACTCCATTCTGGTTACTAAGACACATTGTGTAAATCGAAACGGCATCTGGAGGTCAATCACTGAGCCTACCCATTCCTGGACTGATCCCCATCACTGGCATCAGCCCAATAGCCATGGGTGGTAGCGTTTCCTCCGGCTGGGCTGTAGTGGTAGTCCACCAGAACACCTCATATTTTCGTTTCCTCCGAATGCAACGGATGTACAAATTATTGACAACACTGGCAGGAGAAACCGTCGCGAAGCGGTGCAGCCTACAGCTCGGCAACCAGGGTACGGGTATGGCAAATTCTGGGCTGTGAGTACGAGTGAAATAGACAGGCTACCAGCAAGTAAGCTAGTGCACTAAATTTTCAAACTCAGTGTGCTGAAAACTGGAAATACGAGCCGTGGCAAGACGAAAATGACTCGCTCCAGTATGTTTAGCCCAAAACAAAGACTTGCTTTTCCTGCATGCCCACAACCTACTTCACAAAAGACCAGCAGTACTACGAACTGTACTCGCAAGATGCTGAGTGCTGTACAGTCATGTACACCTGTAAGTTATTCTCAAAGGAGCGAGGCTGTGACACAAGGCAGTGAATGAGTGATCTCTGCACGCTAGTGCCAGTGGTAGACCATGCATGGTAGACTAGTGCCATGAAGTAGTGACTATTACTATTAGTATTACTAGTTTTAGCTACATGTACATGTACATGATGATTATTGTACACTTACGACAACGACCTAACGTACATCATGGTACATGGGTGAGACTAGAGTCGCCGGAGATCTCTGTTCGTGTCCATGTTTGCATCGAAGTAACACATCACACGTTGGTTGCCATAGTAAAGAGGTGTGATTCGTTGCCAACAGTTCCTGGGGGGGGGGGGGGTAATACAGCAAGACTGGGTTTCTTTACGATGCAGTTGCGTGATTTCCACCACTTTCTTAGTGAACTGTGAAGACTGGGTTTGCCCCAAAGATGTAAAAAAAAACAGTGACAGCCATTAACTGGTCCATTTCTTTTACCGGTAATTGATTCAGCAGAAACCTCGTTTCAGGTGTTCTAGAAGACTAGTGTTGAAATAGACGCAACGCGCACGTGGAGAACCCATGGCCCTCGTCTTGCCCTACAAAGCCGTCAAAGGTGCACAGTTCTAAGGATTCTCAAACTCCATTGCAGCCATTTACTCATTACCTGCCCTCAAATACGAAAACATGGTACATGGTACATGTACTGGTATGCACGTATCTACTGTAGCGATTTAGGTTTACCAAATTTTCGGGTGCAGTTGTATTGCCCATCATCTTGAAGCGTAAGATGGACTGGCGCACTGCACCCGTTCTTAAATCTGTAAGGATACCGGTACATGTTTTTGCTTTTTGTTTTTGTTTTATAAAAAACACACACCATTTGACGGCACAAAGCAGCAAGGCAGCGATGAGACATAATGGAATGGCAGGAGTGGGGGAGAGGCAGGGGCAGCTTGACCATCCATAGGGTCTCGGCTTCATTGCAACCCAAGCGCTCCACAAAAACAAAAGGTTACAGAAAATACGCGGGGGGGGGGTAGATAACTTGGGATTACGTGTATGTACATGTACATTGTAGTTATGGTGGTGGTTGTCGTCGTTGTCGTCGTCGCCACCATCAATCATCGTCCTGACTCAATGCCATGGTCGTGGAGGCAGTGGTAAGGTCGGGGGAGAGGTGTTTACAGCAAACACGTACACGTATGAGCGGGTTGGATTCGTACACTACCAGTTCGACTGCACGAAAAGTGCAGTACAATACCTGCTAATCAATGATCACTCTAGCGTTAGGTGAAGCAATCATTACTGACTGTAGATTAAGGCGGATAGTTATGCGAGCGGGGAGGTAGCTCGATGTGAGATACCGGTGAGACCCGGTCCGTTTGACAGCTTGACGGCCGAGCATTTCGTGGAAGAGAGGCGTCGCTCGCTACGACATAAGCTCATTGCGTAATCCTATATTTGGGAGAGATGATGTAATCGCGTGCCGTGGCAAAGTGCCGAGTTGTGGGCAAAAGTCTTTGCCCGCAACCTCTTCCTTGCCAAAGAGTTTGTAAAAATTTATTTTGATTGTTTGGTGCAGTGCTTTTTTTCTTGTTCGTGTCTTTAGTTCAGTTTTGTACATTGTACATGTAGTACCGTATGTGATGGCGGCGACTGGGTTTGATCCCGATGGCAGCAGCGATTCTTCTCTGTCAGGAGACGATGGTGACAAGCCTAGAGTCACTGGTAGCTACTGTTGTGTTCCGTTGTGCAAATCTGAGTATGGAAAACCAAATTCACCAAAGTTCCATGACTTTCCAACCGATCGTGCTTTGAAGTCTGCTTGGCTACATGCCATTCGTCGTGATGAAGGGAAGCACTTCAAGGTGAAGCCGAAAACAACAAAAGTTTGCGGACTACACTTCCAAGAAAGTGACTATCGTGTTGTGAGTGATCGTGCTTTGAAACGAAGACAAAAGGAGGGAAAGGGTGGCAAGCCTCGACCGCGCTTGGTACCTGGAACAGTACCTACCGTCTTCTCGTTCCATAAATCAGCGACACAGGGCCCTTCGCGAAAACCACCAGCTAAGCGGGTGTTCTTGAAGCCGGTTACGTCAGACTCCAGTTCGAGTGACGAAGATGCTCAGGCAATGGTTGTGGATGACGGTGAGGGCAGCCACCAAGACGACTCAGTGGATGAGTTGGAGAGACTCAGGCAACAAGTAGCAGAATTGAACTTGAAAAATGAGAAGCTTGACTTAGAACTGCAGTCCGCTAAGTCGTCTCGGGATGTGAGTGTGGGTCTTTGCTCCAAACTGTGGAAAGAGCAAAAGACATTGGAAGAGGAGCTCAGGCAGACAAAGGAAAGCCTGGTCCTGCACAAATTTGACATCCGTAGGTTCTCTGAGAAGGCCCACATGGTGAAGCTCTACACCGGCTTCACGTCATTTGACATGTTTATGGCATGTTTTCGCTATCTGGAGTCAGACGCTGCTGAGATGTGAGCTTGGAAAGGATCGAGGACGAAGCTTGATGGTGAGCGACTCGGGAGAAAGAATGGTCCATTGCCTAAACTCAGCCTGGAGATGCAATTCTTCTTTGTATGTGTCAGGTTACGGCAAGGACTCGTGTTGGACGATCTGGCAGATCGATTCAAGGTGGACAGTTCAACCCTGTCAAGGTACTTCACGTCATGGGTGAATTTGATGTATGTGACCTTTAAAGAATTGCTGGTGTTCCCGTCTCGTCGGCGTATCGACAAAGACATGCCCAAATCTTTCAAGATATACTACCCCACTACTAGAGTCATTATTGACTGCACTGAGTTTTTCATCGAGCGGCCGTCCCGTCTGTCCACCAACAATGCAGCATTCTCCGCTTACAAAAATCACACCACGTGCAAGTCCCTCATTGGAATCACTCCTAACGGAACTATCAGCTTTGTCTCCACGTTGTATGAGGGGTCAATCTCGGACAGGGATATAGTCATTGACTCGGGCTTCATCTCACTGATGGACCATGGTGACTCAGTCATGGCGGACAAGGGCTTCAACATCCAAGACCTCCTTGCTCCATACGGTGTCCGGCTGAATATTCCACCATTTAACACCAAGGCATATCAAATGCTCCCCCAGGATGTTGTCGAAACGAAGTCCATCGCTGCTGTAAGAATTCATGTGGAAAGAGCCATCAACCGCATCAAGCAATATCGTCTTCTTGATGGTGTCATTGACAACAATTTATTTGATATTCTTGAGCAAGCTGTCTTCTCAGCGTGTGTTTTATGCAATTACCAACCCACATTGGTTGCTACCTGATATGGTCTCGATGTCAATACAATTTTCACACCTTCATTCATAAATCGCCCTGTCCTGTTGAACAATGTACATAATTATGTAAATAAGCGAACATTTTTATATTATCACAGACCTAAACGGTGGTGTTCCCAGAAACTGTATTATTTAGGTGCAGCTGTGCGCATTATTCTTTCTATTTGCTGCGTTGAGAGCGTTGCCATTACTCTGTTCTTTCTGGTTTTGGCACCACCCCACACCCTATTATTTGATCATTATTGTATTTCGTCACCTACGGTGTTCTAAGCTGCCATTCCTTTTACTAGTGCTTCCTATTGGCACATCCATTAAACCAGTCCCTTACCCAGCCAGTACTCAGACGCCTACAAATCGTGTTCAGTACTCCACGAGTACAGTGTATTAATTTTGATGATTGAATAGAAAAACAATCACTTTGAAAGAAGATTGTGAGTACTCCACGAGAACTAACAGTGTATTTTATGATTGAATGGAAAACAAGAACTTTGAAAGAAGATTGTGAGTTCTCGAATAGTGCTATGGTGAAGTCTCTCTCTCTCTCTCCCTCCCTCTCTCTCCTCTCTCCCTCCCTCCCTCCCTCCCTCCCTCCCTCCCTCCCTCCCTCCCTCCCTCCCTCCCTCTCTCTCTCTCTCTCTCTCTCTCTCTCTCTCTCTCTCTCTCTCTCTCTCTCTCTCTCTCTCTCTCTCTCTCTCTCTCTCTCTCTCTCTCTCTCTCTCTCTCTCTCTCTCTCTCTCTCTCTGTCTCTCTCTGTCTCTCTCTGTCTGTCTGTCTGTCTGTCTGTCTGTCTGTCTGTCTGTCTGTCTGTCTGTCTGTCTGTCTCTGTCTCTCTCTCTCTCTCTTTCTCTCTCTCTCTCTCTCTCTCTCTCTCTCTCTCTCTCTCTCTCTCTCTCTCTCTCTCTCTCTCTCTCTCTCTCTCTCTCTCTGCTATTGGCCTGGTTGTGATGAAGCCGAGACCCAAGGTCGGCAGAGCATCCCAGACCACGCCACCACTCCCCTTATTCATGGCTCACACATGACGGGTTTACGTGGCTCTAGTAAAAAAAAATAGTAACTAGGAAAAGAAAGTTCGAAAGAAGTCCAGTGTTGACATTAAGAACAACATCACATTAGAGCAGCATGAATGGCCGGAAGGTAATGCGAGAAATAAAATTTCTCCAGTCGGGGCAGAAACTCCTTCACAAGGGAATGATCAGCAGCGACAGTTTCCACAAACAGACCATCTGGAAACCATATGACAAAGTCGGCAGCCTCCACATCGCAAACATACATCTGCGTTTGAACTTGGTAGTAGTAGGTGTGCGTTCGCTTGAGGACCAAATTGCCATCAACATCCGTCAAGCATGAAGTCCGCCGTCCAGCAAACTCACGAAGCGACATACCATTCCGCATGGTGAAAGGACACTTGATCTCCACCACACGCTGCAGTTTGCCATTGACCATGACTAGACCATCAGGCGAAGCACTAAGCCATGGTTTGGTTGGATGGATGAAAAGGCCACAGGATTCGACGAGAACAGGAACATCCGAAGTCTGTGCACGTGTGATGTAGGCTTTGACAGCATCACATTCATGCGCTAAGCCATACTTCATAGCCGCTGTAGGATGCTGCGGTGGAGCCAATTTCCTGTTGATGATGGTGGAGAAATCATCACTTCGTCGGCTTGCAATACTCTTAACAAGTGTTGCAGTCACTCGTAGTCGCCGCTCGTTGTACCAGGAGAGGTTAGTTGACTGTCCCTTCGTCTCCCTTGCAATTTCAGCTGCACGGGCACTGGACACAGCAACACGGTGTTCATAAAAATCAGCAGGCGATTCCGGATTAATAGCAGCCATAGGCACAGGCGCCTCACAAGAAGACTCTGGTACACCCATCTGGCGCTCACTGTCTGACTCACTGCTGCTGCCCTCGTCACATTCCGAGTCATCTGGGCTTGGGACAGGAGAAGGTTCAAGTAGCTTTAGCCAACATGAGCTGCCATACATCTTGATCTTTCCCGATTTGTCCTCTGCCAGAGCCTTCTCCTCAACGCGCTCCAAGTCAGTACGCAGCCTGGCAACTGCCTCAGGATTGACGAATCTGCGGTTTGTAGGCCTGGGGTCATAAAACGGGATGCTCTTTTTCTTTTCTACAAGATCTCTGCCTGAATACGTGTCCTTCTTCAGGTGGACTTCCGTTACTCTGCTGGCCTTGACGCGTGCTGCTCGGGGCTGATTCCATTCCATCAGTTTCTCAGTACACGTTTTGGCTGCCTCTTCACGCAGGCCAAGCCTTACAAAGTCCTCCAATGCATATAATAGGCCCGCTATGTGGTTACAGGAACCAGCTAACCCAGCAGGGCATGTGCAATAGGCAGTGAGAACCGTAGGGACATGTGACACACCGCCAGCAGTGCAGCATATCCGAACGTTGTATTTCCTGTCCTTTCGGAAAGAGGGCAGGACGACGCAGCGGACAAAACAGAATTGTGGAAAGACAGGCAGTGAATTGAACTGGATCTTCTGGATGTGGCCTGACTTGAAGAACCTGAACCCTTTGTCTATTCCACGGAACGAGCTGTACTTGGCTGTGCCGGAATCACCAACCTCCTCGTCATCCTCCCCATCATCATCCTCCCATTCGTCATCAACTTCAGCAGCGAGAGCACTATCAGCAGCGGCAGCATTATCAGCAGCGACAGCACTATCAGCAGCGACAGCACTATCAGCAGCTACACCACTATCAGCAGCGACAGCACTATCAGCAGCGACAGCACTATCAGCAGAATCACTGGCATGTGAAGTAGCAGGAATAGCAGCAGTGTCGTCACCTCTTGCAATCTCGTGCCCACTGATGACTTCCTGGACCGTCCGCTCTGTGAAATGCACATACAGGGTTCGGAATGAGAATGATGGCAGCTGACTTAGATTATCCTTCCATCCCTCGGTGGGGAACGGGGGGACACTTCTTAGATTGGGGTGCACGACACCTGCGGACTTCAGACGCTCAGCTTTAGCAGCAATGTTTACACCACCATCAGGGTCAACAATTTCATGTGCCAAGCCACCACGTATGTAGTCTTCAACTCTGTTGAACACAAAGAACAACACCCAAACAACGAAATAAATTTCAAAATTGAAAACATTGACAACCGAAAAAGGAAAATAATGATTATGGGAGGATATGTGGGATAATTCCTAACTAAAGGCGAAGTGACGTAAAACCCAAACAATGTTACTTCCCGGTTCTACTCACTACATGTATTACCATACCGTCTTGCAATTAGGTCTAAAGAAAAATCCCAGCACAAATCTCACCTTTTCAGCAATTCAGGTTTCGTTCCCGATCGACGAGCATTACGGCAAGCTAGCCAACGCTTCAATTCTTTCACGGAAAGTTGACTTGCCAAGCGTTGAGAGCCATCAGGATTCCGACCTAACGATGCTCCAGGCACATCGTCCTCGGAGAGCTTCACAGCCTGCGCCTCCATCTCCGATAAACAAAATACTACGAAAAGTGTTCCTTGCAGAAGCAGCTGACACGGCCTACAAATGTAGATTTGCTTCTGCCCACAACTCGGCACTTTCCAGGCTGGTCGCGTACGCATGACATCATTACGCAATGGGCCTATGTGGACGCTCACTATACTGAAAGCACTGGCACTACTAGTACTAGGGCGATGCCCACTAATAGACGAACTTAACTAGTGACTAGTGTGTGCCACAAGCATAGCCTAGACAAGAGCCATATATGTACAATCATGTAGATAGAGCCTTGCGAAGTCATGGCCTTCCTACATACAAATACCTCCCTGTCAAATATGTTCGCCCACTGGGTAAACAATGCTGCGTTCGTCCCCGTGTGACAACTGACGGCATCAGGCGTGTATGCAGTCATGTCAGAGCAAATCATGTTGCATAAATCGAGTTCAAGTGGATTTTGATGGGACACTCCTAATGCTCTCAATATGAAACAGGTGACAGCGTTCTTGTGCATGCAGTTTCATCTTTTTGGGGCCAGGCAGTGCGACATTATTCATACTAAAAGCAGCTGCAAAACCTCTTCCGATCACACAAGAAGACCTCAACTCCCATACACCATGAATTATTGTGTCAGAAGTTCAGAACACTTAGTGAGACTGTGTAATTGTGAAGCAAAGTGCTAAAGTGCAAGTTGTCCTTCCCAGTGTGTCGTTGAAACGATCTCTGTAAAAGGACCTCCCGCGATTGTGCCTTGTGCAACTGTTCCACTGCACTCCGCTCTCAACAAAGAGTTGTTCTTTGTCGCTACACTGTTTGTCTGTGTGACAACATGTGCAATTGCTACTGAGGTTGTTGTCTGTGGGCAGACTGTGGTGGCAGACCTCAACACTTCGTTTCGTCGCTGCATTGCATGCAGTATCGTGTACTCAACTGGCAGGTACAGGGAATTCGCGTGCTCCGTTGTCCCCATTTGTACACCTTGTGGCACGCGCCTCGCTGTGAACCCTGTTCTTCTTCCCGGTGGTATCGGGCGCACCGCACACCTTCTAACCTATTTATCGCGTTCGCAATCTATCGATGCTCGTCGGGAGTGTCCTGGCCTGATTGTACAGGGCCTCTGCAGCCGCATCTTCCACGGGTCATTGGCGAGACGACTGACACAACGAGCAAGGAACGACATGGCCGCCACGGTAACGAACAAGATAGGACTGTCCCTTAGCGCTGTACTGGTGTATTGACAGCCCTAGCCCCAGCTTTGCCGAGCCTGATGTCGCAGCGAAGCCGCACGCAATTTTCCGCTTGTGGTTCACGAGGTCAATTTGCAGCACAGGGCCTACAAAAAGGCAGCGCTCTTTCTGAACTAGTCAGACTCTGCTTTCTTATCTAAAGGCAAACAGGTGTGTTTTTCTCGACCTTAATCTACCAAAACCATGTCGAACTTCCGTGCATCCAAATCTGGTCTTGCTGCCGATATCGAGAAGAAGCTCGAGGCAAAGCTGGACGAGCTGGAGGAGGAGGGTGTTCCACAAGCCATCGTTGACTGGATTAACGCTGTGCTCGACGATCAAGCGGACGTGTGTGAAAGTGCCCACTGGAAGGACATCCATGAGTTTTTGAAGGTAGGCTTGAGAGTTTTTTGGTGAAAATCTTTCCCGCCACATGTTTGCTGATCATGGACGCTTATCCAGGTCCAATAAGACCATAATGATACACATGATTGTATACTAATGTATGTTTTCTCCCAGCACGCTGATCTGGTACCTACATAAATATTATAAATCTGACCTGAGGAAACAGTGGCCTGAGTGAGGATGTGTATTGTAAGTCTCGTCGTTTCTGAGCGCTAGAGAACGGAGATAGCATAGTGATCAACGGCCTGCCATAAAGAGCCAAGTCGAGGAGATGTCTAATGCTACATGCACCTTGGCCAATTTCTTTCAGAGCATTAATTTTCTTCCCAATCGTAGTAGCATCTCAGGCAAGAAAGAGCTCCACATGTACATAATATTATTATCGTTATCATAGTTCTCGTGTGCGAGCTTCTCTCCTCATCCAAGGGACATGTACCCGAACTTTACTCTTTAGTTCACCCAAATGTACATGTGCAGTGCAGTGATAGAGTCTGTACCATACGTGCCAGTCCTCTCGCCATTATCGTAATTGACATACAGGAAGAGAAGTGGATAGCTTGATCGCTGTGCACTAGGTCACGGAGTCACCCCTGCCGGTCAGAAACATGCATGCCTAGCAAGTGATGATTACCAGATACTGCTCCATATCATCTTATCGAATCTTAATGTGACCTTTGGTGTGTGCATGTAGTATGGTGTACACGCGTACAATGAAGGGTCTTAGTTTTAGGCTCAGCAAAAGAAATGCAGGTTACTTTGCCCAACTAACGCCACAGCCACGTAGAGTAACGCTGTCTTTGATCAATGTGCGAGAGGAATACATAATACTGAAGGAGCTTGAGTGATGTCTAGCGACGAAGCGTAGAATGAAATCGTTTCGTCACGTGATGCAGGTAACACAGTCATACCACTATCATCTTCACTGCATGTAACACCAAGGCGTCATTCATACACCATGCAAAGTGCTAATCGCATGAGAGGGACATTTTTCACTCCTTCTTTTCACCAAGTAATATTTTACTTGCTCAGGAAGCGCTTTGTCATGCGCTAAGACTCACGCCTCTAGCCCTATGAGTATGAAGTGTGAGCTTCAGCAGAACGTATACTACGTGTACGTGTAGTACTAAAGGAGTATTGCAGTTACATGCACATGTACAATCATGTACATGTGCATGATTGTACATTGCAGTTCCAAAAAACATTCTATACTAGTAGAGCTTTACACTACAGGCACTAGTACGTGGATCTACCTGTATGGCCAACATGTACAGTCATGTAGATAAGTTCGCATGGCCTCCAAAGACCGTGAAACAAGCCACTTGCGCGGGCACTGAAGTGGCCACCCATACCCAGGCAGTTCTTTCAATGGTCTCACAAGATAAAACTAAGACAGCTGTACCGTGTGGCGTCACTCCTCTGGAGGAAAGACACGAATGATGCCATGGATGTATTGTAGGCCAACACCATGAACACAGTAGGGCCTCGTCGCTCCACTGCGCACTGCACTGACGGAGTGTAGGGGAGTGTGTGATCGAGTTAGATTACAATGGGAATCCCCCGACGAAACACCGCACCCTGCCGTTCGTGTAGTTCAGGTTAGAAAGGGAGAACGAAAATCTAATCTTGAAAAGTTGAAGGTATGCCCTGGAGCACCTGTGGTCGACACAGTGGGTGCGTGACGTTTTTCAGCATTCGTACGTACGTGTGCAAGTCTGTAATGAGGCCAGGACGCTTCCTGATTATAAATACATGGAGGCGAATGTACTTGTACATGACTGCCATGTATTACGTGTGAACGTCATCTTCTTCCTATGGAGGTTATTGTACTATTGTGTAAGAGCCTGCTGATCCATTCTTGTGTTTGCACAGGACGGATCACGTCTCTGCCGTGTCATGAACGCTGTCGGCGATTCAGAAGACGGCATTCCGCAGATCAAGTGTAGCAGGAACCAATCTGCCTTCTTCTGTATGGACAACATTGGCAAGTTCCTGAAAACGGCGGAGGCTTACGGTGTGAAGAGGAATGACCTTTTCCAGGTAAGATCATTGCGATGAACACGACAGTCCGGAACAGCGATGATAAAACATTGTAGGCATGACAGTGGCCAGCCGTATAAGACAATAATTATTATGCCGTCATGAATGAAATTGGTATGACGTCGAATGTCTTGCAGATCTGCATGTGCAACAGGAACAAGGCCTTTGTGCAGGCTCCAGAAAGATTTCCCAGTGCACTTCGCTGTTGGTTGGGTATTCTGGAGGATGGCACCGCAGTGAGATGAGTCCATGTTGTTGCCTCCGAACCCGCCAGCGGGAGGCGTAAACAGCCTTTCTGTTGGCGCAGTAGGTGAAGTTTAGAAAGGCACGCTGAATCCTCCCTTCAGTATGTCTTCTACGACAAAGCTATTTTAATATGTCACTTCCAGTATGGTACTCCGCACATAGACTTAATGATGACTAACGATGCTATGACTTCTTGCTTTGCTGAACCTGCAGACAAGCGACCTGTACGAGGGAGTGAAGGGACCGTTTGTGAACGTTCTCACCATGCTGCATGCACTGGGCCTGGTCAGCAAGTCCAAGTATTACCTACCAGAGTACTGCGGACGAGGAGCACTGGCCCAGGAGAACAAGAGAGGCTTCACGGATGACGAGATCCGTGCCCAGTCCGCCTCGGTCTTGCCCAAGCAGTCGGCTGCTTCGCACGGACTGGCATCACAGGCTGGTATGAGAGCACCTGGTACTGGTCGCCACATCGCCGACTAAACACCCCGGGAACGCAGCATGCCATGAACTATTGTACAAACACTAATAATCAATCAGCGGCACCAACAAATTCCGCTTGAGCAGATGCAGTCTGAAAAGATAATGAATGAGACTGATTTATTCTAGACCTGTGTGCAAGATGGAAGATGTACAGTCATGTGACCTATGTTCACGTACATGTATGTACAAACTGATCGTAGATTAGCTCTGAGACGCCAAGTACATAGAAGTACTTATCTACATGTACATGACATTGTACATGACTGTATGGCTGGGAATAGAAGTGATTGATTTCCTTTCAACCCATCATATGACTATGCTTCACACTGAAAATAATTATAATGATTCAACAAGAATACAATGTACATACATACTATTATGAACATTTTGCCGCGTGCATTCTCTCTTCCCCCCCCCCCCCCCCCCTCTCTCACTGGTGCTGTGGCCTGGAACGCCACAAGTGCTGTACAGTTGTATCCCACTTTACTTCGTATGGAGGTGCAAGACGCATAGACTGATGTACATTGTAAATGATGGGCCGGAGTTCTACCGATCACGTGATGGTGACCTTTCCGGTACTGCATATGCATGTGCATTGCATGTGAACGTGTTGAGAGAGAAATAGAGAGAAAGAAAGAAATAGAGAGAGAGAGAGAGAGAGAGAGAGAGAGAGAGAGAGAGAGAGAGAGGAGAGAGAGAGAGAGAGAGAGAGAGAGAGAGAGAGAGAGAGAGAGAGAGAGAGAGAGAGAGAGAGAGAGAGAGAGACAGAGACAGAGACAGAGACAGAGACAGAGACAGAGACAGAGACAGAGACAGAGACAGAGACAGAGACAGAGACAGAGACAGAGACAGAGACAGAGACAGAGACAGAGACAGAGACAGAGACAGAGACAGAGACAGAGACAGAGACAGAGACAGAGACAGAGACAGAGACAGAGACAGAGACAGAGACAGAGACAGAGACAGAGACAGAGACAGAGACAGAGACAGAGACAGAGACAGAGACAGAGACAGAGACAGAGACAGACACAGAGACAGACAGACACAGAGACAGACACAGACAGACACAGACAGACACAGACAGACACAGACAGACAGACAGACAGACAGACAGACAGACAGACAGACAGACAGACAGACAGACAGACAGACAGACAGACAGACAGACAGACAGACAGACAGACAGACAGACAGACAGAGAGAGAGAGAGAGAGAGAGAGAGAGAGAGAGAGAGAGAGAGAGAGAGAGAGAGAGAGAGAGAGAGAGAGAGAGAGAGAGAGAGAGAGAGAGAGAGAGAGAGAGAGAGAGAGACAGAGAGAGAGAGAGAGAGAGACAGAGAGAGAGAGAGAGAGAGAGAGAGAGAGAGAGAGAGAGAGAGAGAGAGAGAGAGAGAGAGAGAGAGAGAGAGAGAGAGAGAGAGAGAGAGAGAGAGAGAGAGAGAGAGAGAGAGAGAGAGAGAGAGAGAGAGAGAGAGAGAGAGAGAGAGAGAAAGAAAGAGAGATAAAGGGAGATAGAGAGGGGGAGAAGGAGAGAGCATGAGAGCGATATTACTCAAAGGCATGCTCACGAAATTTACCATGGCAACAGTACTGAAATACAGTAGTATTCTAGACTCGTATCAATACTTAAACCTGGTCACACTTCTGCAATAGAGTATTAAAGACGTATATTTTGCCACCACGGCTACCACCTGCTTGCAGAGACCGTTTGTACTAGGCACTGCATTTAACCCACCTTTCATCATACGGACACCTGCATAGACACGACACCTGCATAGCCAGACCACCTGTCTCTCATTCCAGACCAGTTCTCTGTGTACCAAGTAGTGGTCACTAAACACGTCCTTATCTCCCATGAACGTTTTCAGACAACAGCCATGTGTACAATGGATCTCCATAGGCATAGGCCTGAATCACTGATTAGAAATAACGCCACGGTTTGTCTGTGAGCATCGTGACAGGACCTACCCCAATCGGAAGCTTCGAGTCTTTGTCCCAGGCCAGATATGCCGTAAAGACGATGATGCCAGTAAATTTGTTGGCTCCTCGGGTCTGAATTACCGTATGGGCAACTCTGCCTGGAAATGTTCTGATTCCTCAATCAACTGGGCCTTAATCGTTGATACACAGATTATCCTCTGTTAATCAATTCCTCTTGTTCTCTAATTGCTGGCAGACGCCGAAAATCTTGGTTAGCACTCCACTCGCCTCAAGGCTTCTGCTGTCGTTCAAAAGACGACTTGGTCTGCGGACTCAAGATACATCAGTTCACAAGGCATCCCAGGATCATGCGAGTGAAAGCTGCTGACTTACTGCTGGGTACTAGACTATGAACTGAACTGGGCGGCATGTTTTCAATTTTTTATAATTATCTCTTTTCAGTCACTCAGACGTATGGTTAAGAACAGGGAGTCGTCAAATACCGGTTTTTGACGACTCCCTGGTTAAGAACAATATCATCTGGACAAATATAAAATAATAAAAATAATAAAAAAACTCGACGGGGTTCGTGTACCGGGCAGGTCAAGAACAAGGAGTCGTACAACTCCCTGGTCAAGAACCACCTTTCCGCTTCCGTGGGACGCCACCACCCCAGGATCAGGCGTCAGATGCGGCTCCTAAACGGTGGGGGAGGATAGATCAGATCCACCAACCAGAGGCCAAAGGCCTCGATCCCATTTGCCACATCCATGTATTACTCATGCCAGGCCACGACAAATATAGCCCCTCGGAACCTGTGCGCATTGTTCATATCACAAGCACTGTCGGATTCCTATTGCTATAGACTTATAAGCAACTAGCAAGTGAATTAGCCAAATCAGGTGTAAACGGTACTATGAGAGCAAGGGTCCTTTTTAAGTTTTTATTACCATTTTTTTAATTTTATGAAAGTGCACATGCCTAGATATAGAATGGAAGAGAACAACAACAGCAAGAGAACGTAGGGGAATACAAAGGCCTCTGGGAAGGGTGTATGCAACGGCTTGGAATTTTGCACATGATTTCAGCATCTGGTACGGTGCTATCAAGGGAAGAGAGTCAACATCAGAAAATCTCTCCACGGAGTGTTTCAGGTGTATGGTGAAAATAACGGAATGCTCAGGCTTCGCAAACAGAGAATGTACAACGGTGTCCCCTGCTACGTCCTGCGCGGGTTGCAGGATCAGACATGGCAACAGGTATTGCGTTTGTTTGAGTACACACCAGGGACCGCTCGGAGAGTGAGCATGATCTAATTCCAACAATGTCACCGATTTATCATCAAAGCCAATATTCTCCGCGGGTGTGACTGCACGTGTAGCTTCTCAGAACTCTGGCAGGTCCGCCGTGCTATCCCAGTCAGGCGACGTGCTATCCCAGTCAGGCGACGTGCTATCCCAGTCAGGCGACGTGCTATCCCAGTCAGGCGAAGTGCTATCCCAGTCAGGCGACGTGCTTGCAGCGGCCATCCACTCTGCTGCTACAGTTGCGTGATCCTTGCCAGATTAATCTGTTAGCACAGATACCCTAGCTACTGAACAGCCCGGTATTGATCTTCGAAAAGATTGTCTTGCCTGCTAAACTGTATATCAAGCGCATACTCCACCATCTTGGCATATGTCCGTCCGAGTCCGATCATAGGCGTAAGCCTTCATTCGACGCCTTGCTAGCTCCAATGCGATGCGATACGAGCTACCCTTCACGGCCGCCCATCACTGCTGATAATGCTCATAATAATAATAATCCTAATGGTGGTGCATAATCACTGTCATGGCCAAGAGCCTGAAGAGGCTCTTTGTTTCAGCCACCAGAAGTGGACTGCGGACAACAAAGCCGTCCATTCCTGTGTAGCTGCTGCGATCTTGTGAAGACAATGAGATGTACGCCACTGCAAATGAACAATGGCCTGAACCTGTTGACCCCACTCACGAAGATTAGACTTGGCTCATCCAATGTTTTCCACCAGCTCCTTGCCTTCTCTCTATCAGCACTAGCTGCCTATCTGGTAAAGATGGTCTCGTACGGCAGGGGCCTCCCATAACTCGCATGTAATTCAGTGCCTTCAGCGATAATCTTTGGGAATCCGAGTTCATTTTTATCTTCTTGTAGTTGGCTATTCTTCGCCTGGCACTGTCATCGCCAGCCCAAGCTCTACCGACTCCCTACCGAAATACTTCAAGTACATGTACATACATGTACTATTTTTTACGCTTGCAAGTCGACTAGTCGCGACGTTGATCAGCATCACAAGGCCTACAAATAGCGGTGCTCGATCTGATTCTGTTACACTGCTTTTTCTTCCTCAGCGAAACACAAAATAGCTCTGTCTTCCCACGCGCCCATCATCTTCGACGAACATGCAGCGACCCACTGGATATGGGCTAGTTCCCCAAACGGACGGTAAGCTCGAGGAGAAGATGGATGCCTTTGCTGCAACAGATATTCCAGAAAAGATCGTCTCCTGGCTGAACGCTGTCCTGGACAATCCAGCAGATGCGTGCAAGAGTCACGATTGGAAAGACATCCAAGAGTTTTTGAAGGTAGGTTGGACGCATTGTTGCAGACCTCTTTGGTGTCCGTTCAACAAAACCGCAGGTCTTTGTCACTATTGTCAGCCACGTTAGAAAAAAAGGTAACAAAAATGTTAAACAAGACACAATTAGGCTGGATGGTTGGCACGTGGTAACATTTAAGCCCTAATGCGGTAGATCGATAGAATAACCGAAGGACTAGATCTTGCTGGGAGAAAGGTTCTTCAGAGAACCAGGGCGGAAAGCAAGGTGGAAAGGGTGGCAGGTAGAAAGGAAGGTAGGTAGGCGCACCGGCAGGCAGGGGGCAGAACCGTAGGTATGTGCAATCTGATAAAAAAATGAAAGCGCATGCTTTCCAACGCTACGAGGAGTGTTCAATATTCGGTTGCGAAGAACTAGTGCCAGGGAAAGCTGAGTTTGGCAAAATTACAGCAATAAAGGACGGATGCTGTGGATGCTTATTTTCTTACAGGACGGAACACGTCTCTGTCGCTTCATGAAGTCTGTGGGCGATCCAAGAAGGATTCCAGACATGAGAGTTGACCCGCAAACGCAGTTCGCCTGCATGGACAACATTAGCATGTTCCTGAATGCCGCTAAGGAAATCGGTGTGAAGGACGACGACTTATTCCAGGTACGGTAACATCACGGATGACTATGATTGTATGACTCTCTCTGTCTCCCTGTCTGTTTCTCTGTCTGTCAGTCTCTTGGGCTCTCTATCTGTCTGCCAGTCTCTTTGGCTCTCTACCTGTCTGTCCGTCGGTCTGGTTGTCTGTCCGTTTGTCTGTAACTGCGATGCGTTTCTTATGCGTGTGGTTTCCTAGCTTAGGGTAGGTGTGGTTCGCATATTCATGATGATGTGCTCAATAAACTAACGTTGTACGGCTGGCTGGATACTATAGAAGTTATGGGATTGCATTATCAGTTGGGATGCTTTGGCGAAGCCGCGGCACAGCGCTGCACTAAGTCCGCCCACTAGAAAATCCTCAGAGCCATGCTGTGTGATTACTGTTGAAGTGCCTATTTGAAAATTCGCCCATTAAATCATTCACACACCTTCTATAGGTGGCCCTGAGTAGGATTAGAGGAATGGGTCACGGGTACGAAAACCACCGGGATCTAAGTGTTCCGCAGTCTCTTGCCAAGTCTTGGCCGCTTTCTGTTCTTGTTGTCGCTGCAGCCGGAGGATCTGTACAACGGGGAGAAAGGACCGTTCAGTCGCGTTATCAACACACTCGACCAAGTGGGCCGGTGTTCCCTGGCCATGCGGAACAGTGCAGTACCACAGTACGGCGCCTAGGATAACGAGCTAGGCTTCGCGCCTGAATGCGAGATACATGTGCAGGCTGTGCCACCTCGATCTTGTGTGCAAGCAAGCAGTCGCTTCACACGGGCTGGTATCCCAAGCTAGCATGGAAACATCAAGTACCGACCGCAACGCCATCGATTAATATGCCCCAAAGACATGCAGTTTTTTATATATTTTTTGAACAATTAATTCACACATTGGGACAAGCTATCAGTTTTATAGTTTTCCGTATGCTATGCTGATTTCTACAAGTAGGCATAGCATGCATATTATTATTACCAATCTCATCACTGTATTTTTGCAGACAAAGGCTCAAAGTACACAGTTGTGTTCAACATACCCATCACCAGGCCATTCGGTATAATACCGAGTGTCGTATGCAGTATGCACTATACACGGCATGGTGAGTCAGTCATTCGTGGCACCCGGCCGTAAAACAAAGCCGGACGAGTGCAGACCTATTACACAGGTTAACCTTGCTCGCCCTGTGAGGGTGAATAGCACACCGGATCTTGATAAGGAAGCTGGTCCTGTTTGCCGTACAAGGCAAATGGAGGCGTGGTACAACGCCAGTGCGCCATACAAGGCGAATGGAAGTGTACAAGCTGTACAAGGCGAATGGAGGTGTGGTGCAAAGCGCCTACAATCCCCTACATGTTCAGCAGTTTCACACTGCCATACGCACACAAAGCATGAGTTCGAAAGTCCAGGCGGCCACCTCTCAATAGGTGGCTCGAGGCAGTTGACAGAAAAATAGGATGCGAAAACGCGAGTATAAACAAGAATACAACATAATTACCTGTCAGAGCTGACAGCACTGCTTTCCTATCTAGAGGAAAGGGAAAACAGAATGATAACAAAGGAACGCGTCCTTTTGCACGCAAATAGTGCCCAATGAACTGAATGCAGCTGCCAGGTGATTAAATGCACTTCCCGGTGCTGAAAAATTCTGTAGAAATTGAAATACAGTCGGAGATTTATGTGCTTTGACGAAGAGAACGGCGCGAAATAAAGATAAACTGTTACTTAAAAATAAAGTAGAACTTGGCAAAGAGAATAGGAATCGATAAACTTCAACATAGAGGAGTGAGGGGAGGCAACAGAAGTGAAGAGAAACTGAGTAACTGCCGATACGGTGGATACAAAAAAGGAGATTGAAACCCAGACTAGAAGTGTACACTGAACAAGATAGCTAGTTTATCGAGACTGAGAGAACACGAGAATATAGTAAACGTCTACTGACTTTTGATGTGTGCAAAGGCGATAATCTAGATGGTCGTGCACACACTGCACAAATTAAGCTAGCAGATAGCTCGGTACCTTGTTTCAGGTTGATCATGGTAAAAAAGGTAGGCACATGGCATGTAGTTGGACAAGCGGGTGGCAGACTGGACGGGATGATGGAGAGATTCGGTGCTTCAAGAGTGGCATGGAATGATATTCATGGCAGTGGCATTTCCTTAACCAATGTCCCTCATCAGATGACCCTGGACAGGTGGCATGGCGACGAGGACAAGTGGCACACATACACAGTGGCACACATACACACACGTACACACACACACATACACGTACACACACACACATACACACACGGACCAAACCGGTTGGCAAGCCCACACACGCAGAGGCACCGGTGACAATGCTCTGTGACTGGGAGAACAGCGTCAACCCAGAAGTACGGCATAATGAACGAGACAGTGACCACATGTATGAGATACAATTCCACCGGCGGCTTGCTTGTGTACTGCACCGTGACGGAACAGCCAAACAGGGTATGGCAAAGTGCCGGAATACGGCAGTGAACATCTCTGTGAGCATCGTGTGTGAGAACCGTGGGTCGATGGAGTAGAGCTAACTCACTGACAACCCTGGTACAAAGCGGGGAATACATGTCCTGCTGGTGAATCAGACGGACAGGCAGACTAGCAACACAATGATGACATAATCATGACGTCATCATGGTATGCCAGCATGGCTTGGTATGCATGAGAAGCCATCTTGTCACTACCAGTACATTACACACTCAACCCCTATGGAGATAGTGTTCAATGACACCAGGGGTGAATAACAAACACTGTGGCGGGCGCCATACAGCCGTACAAGCCGGTGCAGATTTGGCTAAGAGCCCCGGGGGTCCTACAATAACACAACTATGCCTACAGACACTCTAGGAGGCTTTCAGGAGAGGCACACGTTCAGAAAACCATACTCTTTCTTGCTTGGACCCACGGCGGCGATATCCTGAAGGGGAGAGGGGGCAGAACAAGACAAAAACAAAGACACGAACGCACACACACACACACACACACACACACACACACACACACACACACACACACACACATACACACACACACACACATGTACACACGAACACACACACACACACACGCACGCACACGCACGCACGCACACGCACACACACACACACACACACACACACACACACACACACACACACACACACACACACACACACACACACACACACAAATACAACAGTGATATATTGAGTCAGTAAAAAGGCTGTACAGTGTAGTGAAAAGCATAAACTCCACAACACCATCATCATACACTGTACGCATACTTTTACGTGCATTGCACTACAACACAAAGACTATGTACACACAGTATACGCAGCCTACTGACCCAAACATCGCGTGGAATTCCGATTCAAATCTGGCAATCTGTATTTCTGATAGTGGTGAAACGAATATACTAAATATTCGAATATTCGTTCGGTTTGTCACATTCGAACGAATATTTCTCATGGCGAATATTCATTAACCCGGTACACAGAGTTTACCGGGCGATTTCAAACTTTCGTATCTTCGCTAATACTTGACCGGATCGCTTCCTCGACAGCTCTATCGGCATTAGAAAACTGTCAGCTGTCGTCTCCAAGCAACCCGAATGCGATCCGAGGTTCTGGAGTGGAGTTACGGCGCTCGAACGAAAAATCTCGTCTCAAGCTGGGTTTTTTTAGCGTGCAAAATGCGCTTCAGCTGGGGATTTTGTGAACATTGACCTAGGAATGATCGAGAAATATGTGCCTTCGTTTGCCATGCCTAATGATAGTGGCAATATCCAATAAAATTACTGAGAGGAAGGTGTGTGATGTCATCCGTGTAACAAAAGAATATTCGTTCGTTCGTTCGTTCGTTAAGCCACAGAATATCCGGCTACTGGGATTTGCTATTCGTTTCATCACTAATTTCTGATCTCCAAAGGCAAATTCTCCAAAGGCAATCTTCTCAACTGTGTCTTCACCATTGACTCTATTGTTCTATAGAGGTTGTACAGATGACGTCATGGTGGTGAACGAGGGGATTCTCCTGTGGGCGCAAGTACACAGCGTAAGTGAATGGATTCGCTTGAGCTAGTGCATCACTGTGCTGTGGCTTTGCCATTCGCAATTGAGAGCGCATACTCAATCCGGATGCCATGTCGAAAGCTGTTAAGAATCTTGTCCGCAAGATGACTTCCCAAAGCCACGCTGGCCGTGGGGGGAATCAGTCACCCTTCGGTAGTGGTTCTAGGTCTTCAGACAGTGACGCCGCGCCCAAGGAACGTAGATCTACGAAGAGACAAGCGGAAAGCCCAGCAGAAAGTTTGCGTGCCACGGATGACGATCCGGTTCTGGCAGTGCCCCGCCCACCTGGAACTGACAAGACCCCGTGCGTGCTGCTGACAACCAGCGACAGTACCCCAGCTGGCAGCGGGCTGTCTGAGTTCTCCAGAATGCTAAAAGAGTTCAAGCGAGAACTGCGTGATGATCTTCGCCGCGTTGCTGAAGACATCGTAGAACCGCTGAAGGTACGTGTGTGCGCAGTGGAGTTGCGGCACGATCAGCAACGAGAGGAACTCAGGAGACTGACCGCTGAGAACCGTAAGCTAAGGGTGCTTGTCGACAAGTGTGCTGAATCCGTCAATAATGTAGAGAATGTTGCAAAATCCGCCATTAGCAACATGGAAAAGAAGATTGCAAACATCAACAGCAGCCAGGCTGGCGCCACCCCCAACCCACCATGCACGGCAACACCTGCCTTAAATGACCTCCACATCAAGGTGCGTGACCTGATTGAGGAGGCCACAGAGTCCAGATTGCGCTCCAACAATGTCATACTGCGTGGCCTGGAAGAGCTCCCGTCCGAAGATCTTGCGACTCTAGTGCCGACACTGGTGCCCAATTTAGCCGCCGTGGACGTGAAGTCCGCATCGCGTATCGGAACGCGCGGTTCAAATAACGCAAGCACCACTGCCCACCAAATAAAGCCGCGGTTAGTCCACGTAGCCCTAACTGAGAGCGGCAAGGCAACCCTGATGAGGCACCGTCGCGACGCTACCTTCAAAGGGGCTAATGTTTACATTCATTACGATCTGACATGGCCCGAACAAGCACGGAGAACGGCTCTGGTGCCCAAAATGAAGGCCCTTCGCAGTAAGGGTATACAGTGCCACCTGCCAAGCGATACAATTATCTCCGGAGGCAAAGTGCTCACAGATGAGGACATCGAACGGATGCTACATGACCATGACGCGACCCAATAGGACACACCAAGGGCATCCCCAACATCAACAGCTACAACTCGCAAGCTAAGTATTGCTCATATTAATGTATGTAGTCTTTATAATAAATTGCATGAGATCAAATCACTTCTACATGCTCATAATATTGATGTATTGACCCTCACTGAAACATGGTTGACTGACACTGTCCTTGATAACTGTATAAACATACCGAACTACACCGTGCACAGACAGGACAGGCAGACTGGGAGAGGAGGCGGTGTCTGCATGTATGTTAGAGATGAGTATGATAATCGGAGATTACACCACTCCTCAGACGTGGAAGTGCTTGCTGTGCAGATAAATGTATGCCAACAACCATTGACCATATTCGGCATGTACCGAGCGCCAGCGGTACCTGTAAGCTTCTGGTCGATCCTCACTGACTTGATCGACGACTCGCTGAGACATGCCCCAGCCTCCACCTCCTCTATTGTTCTAGGAGATTTCAATGTGAATGTACAAGATCCTAATCATACACACTACTCTCATCTACAAACACTCTGTAGTGATTTCGACCTCCGAAATGTTGTCACCTCACCAACCAGGTATCCAAGCGGAACAACGATAGATCTAGTATTAGGCTCACTATTAGCACCCAACTCCACTCTCACCACACCACCTGCAGTACTCAGCGGGACTGATATAGTCTTCAGTAGTTCGACTGTAGTTGCGTGTGATATTTCAGACCATAATCTGGTTCATGTTCATTTCACCGTCCATTCTGATGCTCAGCCACACCAGACGAGTAGACAAATACAGATACGCAAGCCACCAGTTTGGTCTCTGAATATCATAGATTTCCAAGAAACAGCCGCTGAGAAAATGTTCAACCTGTCCCACCACACTAATGCCTCATCGCCAGAGTCTCTAAACACACGCATTTTACATTGGCAGACTGCAGTTCAGGGTGCACTAGACGAGCATTGCCCTGCTAAACGTGTGAATATCAAGAAAGCATACACTCCAGCCCCATGGATGGATGGATGATGAACTCCGCCTTCTATTGTTTAAGCGCAAACGGGCGCACCGTGCAATGCTCAGACACCCAGTCCAGTCAGATCTCGTACAACAGTTCAGAGCACTTCGCAGGTGATATACCTTGGTATAGTTCTTGACGAACATCTCTCCTTTGGAGTTCACTTTTCACAATTAGAACGTAAACTAGGCTGTAAGTTAGGAATCTTTAGAAAGGTCCGAGACCATTTAACGATCGATGCTAAGAGGGCTTTCTACATCTGTTCCTTTCAGTCCATACTTGAGTATGGGTCTAATTCCTTTGCTCACTGCCTGTCTGCCTCCCTCCATGACCGTGTTGTCCGACTTAGCAATAGAGCGCTGCGTATTGTATTTTGCATGCCCCGCGTATCTGATGTGTCCCTTGTTATTGCCCGCTACCATATCATTCCCTTGTCTGTCAGGTACCAATTCAAGCTGTACGTTCTAACGTACCGTGCGCTTCATGATCTGGCTAGTGTCCTTGTTGCTAACTGTTTCTGACTCCGCTCTAATTCTACCTGCACTATTTCTCGCACCCGCTCTCAAGTGTCCTCTTCCCTTGCTCTTCCGACAGCCAAACGTCGCTATGGTTTATTTTCTCTCACTTTCCTTGGCTCTGACCGCTGGAATGCCCTCCCAGCCGAGGTCCGCTTAAGTTCTTCCCTGCATACCTTCCGTAATTCTGTTCTTCATTTCTGAGGGTACCCTGTCAAAAGGCCTTAGGCCTGTGGGGATTGCCCTATCAAAAATTTAATAATAATAATAATTTGAAACTTGGATGTTGAGCCATAAATAAATGTAGAAAGGAAAAGGACATATGGATACGAGTTAAGAGTAACTCTCCATCACTGTAACTGGATCCTATATACAGTCAGAAAGTGCAATAACTAGGCACAAAACTAACAAGAGTACTGAGACATTTGACGTCCTGACACCTAGCTTCAACACATCTCCGTAGCGCTAACCGACAGCCTTCCAACTTGGAAGGTTCAAGGTTATGAAAAGACCAAAGAGGGGAAGGCAAGCGCAACGAAAACGAGCAAAAGCCACAGTCCGAACGGAACAAAGAATGTCGATTGTTACTGGACGATGACAAGACCAGTACGATATTTGACAAAGCGGTCTAACTACAATTCGAAGCAGCAAAGCACCTTCCAAGTTGGAAGGCTGTCGGTTAGCGCTACGGAGATGTGTTGAAGCTAGGTGTCAGGACGTCGAATGTCTCAGTACTCTTGTCAGTTTTGTGCCTAGTTATTGCACTTTCTGACTGTATATAGTATCCAGTTACAGTGATGGAGAGTTACTCTTAACTCGTATCCATATGTCCTTTTCCTTTCTACAATAATAATAATAATAATAATAATACCAAGCATGTCAACTGATGATGTCATCATATAGAAAGTACCGCATTTGTCCGGTTGTAAGTCGACCTTTCACGACTAAAAATAGAAGGAGAAAGGGTGGGGGTCGACTTACAACCGGGATTCGACTTATAACCGGGAACTATCAGTATTTTACAAAAAATGACCTGCACTGCATGCACGAGTGCACCGTGTGTACACATTTGTGCCAGTTTATTGGCCTTTTTCGAGGACTGGGACGTTATACCCTCCAATAAGGAAAGTTTACATGATTTGTTGATATGTTAGTAGCAGGGAGTTGTTAGTAGTGCTTCGTTGGGTGATAACTTTAAAACGCAGAACTGAGACCTCCGGATAGGGGGACGACTTATAACCGGGGTCGACTTACAACCGGTAAAATACGGTATGTCAAATGATGATGCCATCATGTACAAAGAACGTCAATTAATGATGTAATCACATGGCCACTAGCGCAATCCACAAGGCAACAGTGGGCACTGGCAAGCAGGAAAAAGTTCCGCGTCACTTGTAATCATCATGCCTCCGATAGCAGCCAGCTGGCACATAGAAGCAGTGTATTCCTACTTGATTACCCTTGTCAGACTACACCCACTCACCTCGTCTTTCGCCATCTCCATCCTCCTCATCCTCGTCCTTCTTCTTTCCCGTCTTGAGGCATTGCACAAGAAGTCCAGCGATCAACAGCAGTGGCCAAACGGCCGTCAACATGACCCATGTCTGGAGCGTTGAAAACGCACGGACATGAACACCGATGCAGACAGACACACAGGCAAACAGGTAGACAGAGGGAGAGAGACACACACAATACACACATACACACACACAATATACTCAAAGGCAAAACAACAAATAAGTCCATTTTTTTTTTTTTTGGGAACACGGCCCTACAAAGAGACATGTGGAGACAAACACAAGACAAGACACAGGGGATGTAGGGACGACGTGCCGATGTACAGGGAGCAACTCGACCGACCAGGGGTCTCGGCGTTAGCGTTGCAACCTGGCATCGAAAAAAAAAGGGGGGGGGGGGGTGCATGGTCAGGTAGCAAGAATAATAATTTGGTGCGAGAAAGGGGCGCTAGTATTGCACCAAATAATAATTATAAATACGTGTAATGACTAAACCAGGAGGGAAAATGAAGAAAGAGAACAATAATCATAACAAGCAAGTAGTAGTAGAGAGGTAAATACTAAATGGGTCTCAAATCTCAATATCATCGTCACAGATACTGTGTGGACCACAGCCATCTCTTTCGGATTAGATCTTTACATACGTTGACCTTGAAGGTTTGGAAGCGTCTTGAATGAGGCTCGTGAAGCAGGAGGTCCGCAGGCAGGTTGTTCCAGGGTGTGATGGCGAAGAAGGGGAAGGATAGCAGGAGGTAGTCAGGGGCTGTGCGAGGGAGTGTCCACTTCAGCTGAAAGGCATGGTGCGTCTGACGTTTTTGCCGTGTGCACATGCTAGCTACGGCAGGGGGCTTGGTTGGTGGCAGCATGGCCTTTACCTGGGGAGGCCCTGGAATGTAGTGCAGCTTGAACAAGTATGACAGGGCTGCCACCATCCGACGAAGCTGAAGACTTTGGAGGATGGTTCCAGGTCCCAGGAAATGCAGGGCACGTTGCTGAACCTTGTCCAGCTGGGCCATGTTAGTTGCGGCTGCGCTCGACCAGGCCAGTGGGGCATATTCAAGTAGGGGTCGCACGAATCCCTTGTAGACCGTCACTCGACCATGGTCGTCCAGGATGGGTGCTGCCTTTAAAAATGCCATAAATAAGACCCATGCTACAAAGCAGCTGCTTAGCACGAGCAACAGCAGCAGCAGCAGCAATAGCGGCAGTGGCAGCAGCAATAGCGGCAGTGGCAGCAGCAATAGCGGCAGTGGCAGCAGCAATAGCGGCAGTGGCAGCAGCAATAGCAGCAGTGGCAGCAGCAGCAGCAGCAGCAACAGCAGCAGTTGCACTGGAAGCATACCTGAACACACTTGAGATGCGGGGACTTCCCCTCCATCAGTAGCCAGGTATATTGCACGGCTGCGGCATTCTCCACATAGTAGTCCAGGCCGTACGTAGTCATCACCGCACCTGTGCACAACACACACACATGCACGCACGCACGCGCGCGCACGCACGCACGCACACACACACATACACACACACACACACATACACACACACGGTTAACACTATACTCGGATGGAGAGCCACAGATCAAACTTAAGACGAAAGAACCAAAGGTTGACAAGTTACCCATGGTTGTCCAACACTGGCGGAAACATGCTATTGATGAGGCATAACGTGCAGCAGTTAGCACAATTACAACTATGGGCCACTTGTAAACCTTTCGTCCTTTCTTTTTAATTGAAAACATGAAAAAAACTGTATCGCAACAAGGAGGATGAGCTGACATGACATTGCGTTACTTTATTTCACTTGAAAGCAGTGTTCCTTAGACGGAGTCTGGACATTTATATTTTCCTCTTAGACTGTTTTTGCGTCGTTTCCATCGCTTGGCATTGCTTTAAAATACATTAATTCAGGTTCACAATATTGTTTGAGTATAGCTCAGACTACATCTGTGATCTTTTCTGTCCTGTAGGCATCTAATGTAGCTTGAACTTTCATTGCCTATGCAGAGCAGATAGGTACCAGGGGCTCCACTGACCACAGGTGTCGGTTGCGCATGCTCGGATTGGATTGTTGTTGTTGTTTTACCAGACCAATAAGTAGTGAGTCTTAGTGTTCGTGAGAGCATGTAAGGATGCAACAGAATGCACATGTACGTTCGTCCGCAAGGAGACAGGACATAACAATTTGGCGTCGAAGATAGAAGACGAAGATGTCTCGAACGAAGCTTGAATTTTTTGAGAAAGGTGATTTTCGTGAGTACGCAGAGAGATTCACATTTTATTTTTTCGCGAACAACGTAGAACAAGTCGCAGCTGGTGCCATCGCGGCCGAGCAGAGAGCGGCGCACACACACGGAAAGCAGCTGTCCTGATCAACCGAGTGTCCGCTGAGAACTACTCCATCCTGAAGAGTCATTGTCTGCCCGACAGCCCAGCGCAGAAGACATTTGCGGAAATCGAAGCATTGCTCACGGAGCACTTCGAACCGAATGTTAGCGTGTTGGTGGCGACACATAGGTTCCAGAGAACTAGTCAAAAAGGATGGAGAGTCAGCGACACAATATGCAGCAAGAATACAGAAAGCAGCTATGGATTTTATGTTTGATGTGTACTTGGACAGAACAATCAGAGATCAGTTCGTCAGTAAGTCAATGAGCGTCACGCAGGAGATCTTGTCCAAAGCCAAGGAGAACTCAAGCTTGGCAGACGTCGTGAAGATGGCATCAGCTTACGAAACAGCATCCAGACTCGGAGCAATTGACGGCACAGCCCGTCCACGCCGGCCGTTCAACTGGAGCATCACGCACGTCGACGAAGCAAGCAAACTCCGAAGTCGTCCGACAAGAAATGTTCTCGGTGTGACAAGTCTGGTCACAAACCTTAAGACTGCGAAGTGTGATGCGTGTAGGACGGTGGGTCACATAGAGAGAACTGTATACAGGTGCTAAATCCGAGATGAGTCAAGCTGATGTTGCTCGTCACTTCGAAGTCGCTCAGTCAACGATATCCTCCATTCTCAAGCGCAAGGAAGCAGCACTCGAGACGGCACCAAAGGACATGTCCAAGATGATCAAGACGTACAAAATGCTCCTTGTAAAAAGGGCAAGGAGATCGCAGACACACTTATGTGAGGGGGCTTGCTGGATGCTCGTCACTGCCTTCAAATGACATCGCCTGGAAGTCGCATGTCCAGCGCTTCCTGAAAAAAGCGGTGCGTCGTGTCGAGAAAGCTGCATAGAGAAGCAGGTGACACAGATTCGGCAGCAGCAAATTATTTCGTGAATCACACATTCATGGTCAGAGATCCTCGCCAATGTTGATAGTGTCTGTGACCCAGCCGAGTGTACAACATAGATGAAACGGGCCGGTTATGGCGGGCATTGCCGAATCGGAAACTGGCTCACACTGATGAGATGCTGAAAGGAGGCAAGACCCAGGAGGACAGGGTGACAGTTTCCATCGCCATCAGCATGGATGGTGCGAAGCAACGCCTTTTGGCAATATGGTACTCTAAACTACCTCGTGCTTTCAAAGCAGCCAACATTACCCCAGCTGCTGTGCTGCAGGGCAAGTGGGAAAGCAACACAAAGGCATAGATAAACAGCGCAGTGTTCTGCAGCTGGCTTAGGGATTGGGTGAGTAAGGCCAGCAGAGCAGGCAAGTCCATTGCCCTGCTAGTCGACAATCGTGCAGCCCACAAGTTTGACTCAATTGCAGATCGCCTCAGGTCTACGTGAGTGATGTTTCTTTCTCAGAACACCAACAGTGACATGCAGGCATGTGACGCGCTGCCTATCGTCACACAGCAATAATGCCC